ATGAAAGTTGATAAAAGATGCCAAATATATTGAGTGCTCGTGATTCAAAACCCCCACTAACACCTGATATGATTGATGAATGATTTGCACTGGTCGCAGACTGTGTGTTAGTCTACAAAGCAATCTAGCACATTATTACTTGAAAAAAAAAAAAGAATGTACCTTAAAAATAGAAATATCTTTTAGAAGTGAAAAAGGAGAAAGGAAAAGGGGGAAGGTAAATAAACTTTGAAGTGAGAGGACAAGCAGACAATTCAGATAAGGAATTTTTTAGTGAGGAGGAATTTGTAAAAATGAGATTCTTTGCTTGTAGCTAAAAGAACTCAAACTTAAATAAACCAGAAGAAGGCAAAGGAAAACTAGTGCTAAAGTAATGGAATTTGATGCTTCATGATAAGGTAAGAAAAAATTAATAATTAATGATGCTGTTTAACAAATTCTAACAAACAATAGTATTTTACAAAAAAAAAGTAGTTTTAAAATAAATTATATTAAATTATAAAATATTAACTATTAAATAATAAAAACTCTTTACAATAAAAGTTAATTTTTTTATTTTCAGAGTCAAACTGTATCGAATTCTATAAAAAAAATTTTCTTAAAATTTTTTTTTTTATTTACAATATTCAAACTTAAAATTTTATTTTAAAAAAATTAAATTTTTTTCACTTAAACTAATAGATAATTAATTACTAATTTTTTACTTAATAATTAATATTTTACTTTTATAATTACGAAACACCAAACTCATTCACAAATACATAATGGTCCTCAAAATTCTTTTAATGATAACCATATGTATCCGACTGTGACAAGGACACAATATGACCACAGTCCATGGTGCTTCCTTCTGTGTCCGTGACAAAAAGAACAAAAATGGAAATAAAAAAAGTTGATGTGATGCTATTTTGAGGGCTTTAGTTGTGGATGCGATTAAATTTATTAAGATAAAATAAATTATTAAAAATTTATTTTAATTTAATTATTATAAATAATTAATAATTAATAAAATAATTTATATTTATTATTTAATATATTAAAATTAATTTATAAATAAATATTTTTTATATCATAATTAATTATAAAAAATATAAATTAATAAAATATAAATCAAAATATATATCCTTCACAAAGTTATATGTGGCTATAAGCAAAACGTCTCTATTTCAAGACTAAAAAATGGTAGGGTAAATTTAGAAAAAGTCTTAATTGTTTAAAGTTACTTACAAAATAATCATAAAACCTTTAGAAATGACAAAAATAATCTCACGCATTTGAAAACGATGTCAATTTGGTCCTCTCCGTTACTTTGAAGCGTTAACTAAGACAGTTGAATAAAAAAAAATTTAATGAAAGTCGTAAAATTTTAGATTTTTGATAGATTCGAATGCGTTGCAACGCACCACACACCAGCAGTCTTCACTCTGAGAGGCAATAAACTCACGGCAATGGCTGGTGGTTCAAAGAAACGGAGGCGAGGTATGTATCCAGATGGGATTGGAACCCTTTTAAGTTTCTGTTCAATTTGTGGTTTCTCATTCAATTGCTCTCTGAATTTTGAAATGCCTTTTTCCTGTTGGGTTCCAACAGTTTGTACCCAAAAGAAATTGACCATCCTTTTTTTTTTGCTTTTTTTAAGTTGAGAAGAAAAGGGGGAAAAGGAAACACGAGAAAGAAGGGATTACTCCATTGAATGTGAAGTATTGGCTTCAAAGACACAAACTTTTCTCCAGATATGATGAGGGTATTAGAATGGACGAGGAAGGATAGGAAGGATGGTATTCTGTTACTCCTGAAGAGATTGCAATTGGGCATGCGGAGAGGTGTGGTGGGGGACTTGTCATTGACTGCTTTTCGGGTGTG